CTCAACCTATTTGATGGAGGAGCATTCTTACATTAACACTGATGCACCTCATTTAGTCCATGTGAGATTGATCAATGCTGCCCTTCATGTAAGAATAATAGCACGATTGACAACAGTACTACGAGGCAAAATCTAAAGCCATGTAGAATAATGAACCCAAAAGTTGAAACTGACAAGTGGAGAGGCCAGTATTTCATGCGATGCTATACCATGTTGTAATAGTCAGTATGAATTAAGGAATGTCGGATTATCCAACGCCTGTCTAACGGTTAAGGTTAGCAGGATTACCAGTGGGAAAAATAACAGGGAAATAAATATTTATTGTCCTAAAATTAGTGTGTTGAGATGTTCTTGCACAATATTAATCACAAAAGGGCTCTTTCTTATTCTTTTTCCCTGTTTTGGTTAGAGAGATTATATTTACTCTCCTTACTTGATAAATATGGGACGACTGGACAATTATTTTTGGCTAGGTATTCACATTTGAAGTTGCACAGTTAAATTTTCTTGCTATCTTGCATAATTGACATGCAAAAAAACCTTATAACTTTCTTCCATGAGCTCAATTCCACTACTGATTGCTTACTTTAAATGGACAGATATTAATTCTTGCAGATGAGTCATTGGAAGACTCCATTGTGCATTCCGACTCAAGATCTCTAGCCACCCTCCTCCTCATTCGAGAGATACAGGTAACTACTATTGCAGTGTCCTTCCTTATGTATTTGAGATTTCTGATTAAACCAACAATTTGAGTGCCTCCCCACCTCTCCTCTCTTTTTCCTAGCTATTCTTATTTGCCTGTGCCTTTAAGGAAAAACCATGGTTTTGCTAGTAGATCTATGTCTTCCAACTTTCAAGGTCAATGCGTCAGTTTTACATGAAACATTTCGAATCTCTTGAACATGGTTTTATTAACAAGAAACTAGAGGATGGTGCTCAGGTGATGTACATTATTGTTCTTGCTTAAGAATTAGTGGAGGTTTACTTTGAACTCGAGGGAAACAGTTTGACAGAGTTATATGGAACTTTGTATGTGGAAAATTCTGAGAAGTTCCATGATGACACTTGCATGTGTAGTTGTCACAGTTGTGATGTAGCATGGCATGAAAGGTAGTGTTTGAGTGAAGTAGAAGCCATACTATCCCGTAGTCATTTCCGCTTTCCTCTAGCCTAGCACGAACAATATCCTGCTCCTTTTCTTTTTATTTATCTGATAACAAGAGAAGAGAACCCACATGGGTATATTCAGTATTTCACAGAACTTGTGATTGTGAATTCATCCTCCCTTTTCAGATCAAAATGGATTAGTTACATAATTAGTCATTAGCCTTAATATTGCTTGCCTGTATTGTTTGGAAGAAGAAAAAAATTCCACCCCTCAGTCTTGCATGTGCCTACATTTACAGCAGGGAGAGGATTAAGTAATGGGAGATGAAGTGTAAAAGGGCTTGGAGGAGATTAGGTTCAGACGTGTAGAATTGAAGAGCGAAGGTTTAAATTGCATGTGTTTTTCCGTTCTTGTTTTTGTTATCAGAAAACCTGAATTCACTTGTAAAAGCCGTTTTGCAGCATGTACATGTTTTGAATAAATGATCACTGATAAAGCTGCCTCTTCTTTGCTTCATGGAATGCAGTTAACGCGTCTCCCTTACAGAGATGTTAAGCCAACTTCTTTACGGGTTTCTGGGTATTCTCACAGCTCATGGATCCGTGAAATGCAACAAGCTTCTGACAAATCAATAATTATTAGTGAAATCTTAGACTCTAGGACTAGAAACCTTGTCTCTGTGTCCAGAATCAGTGATTATGTGCTATCAAATGAGCTGGTAAGTATGGCACTTGCAATGGTAGCTGAAGACAAGCAAATAAATCGTGTTCTTGAGGAACTGTTCGCAGAGGAGGTACCTTTCATATCTTATCTAATGCCTGTTAAGCTTTGCCTTACGTAGTAAATAAATGCATGGATATCTGTCCCTGCAATCGTCTCTTCTTCTCCCAACACCCAACTTCGAGATTTTGCAGGTTGACGACTTATTCCTGTTTGCAGGGCAATGAAATGTGCATTAAACCAGCAGAATTTTACCTGTTTGATCAGGAAGAGATTACTTTTTATGAGATAGTGATTAGGGGTCGTCAAAGAAATGAAATCGTGATTGGTTTTCGCCTTGCAAATGCCGAGCGCGCCATCATTAACCCTCCTGGAAAGTTGCAACCAAGAAAATGGTCCCTTGCTGATGTTTTTGTTGTCATCTCGTTGGGTGACTGAAAGGACACATGCACGTTGCTTTCCCCTGCCTTTCTGCCAAGTCCTCTCTACTATACATTTACACACCAACCCCAACACAACTCACTTCTATGTTGTCTAATGGGCGCATGGCTACTTGTAGCTTGAGAATTTTTATCTGACAGAGGTAGGTGCTGCAGAAAATAGATTACAACTATAAGATAATTCGAAAAATGGGTTATGTAACATTTTCTGAGGCTAAATCCCTCATGATTTGTTCAATGTATGAGTTATCAGGCATTGATTTTGGCACGATTGTGAATGTTTTGGACACTTGAAATAGCTTTCTATCTTTTTCGTAGTTCCATACACCGCAGGTGTGTTCTGCTTCACCTTTAGTATGGACACATCCCATTGTAATTGCCAAGAACAGATACGTTTCATGGATGGGGATGCTGCATGAACCAGCCCCCTAGTTCATTCAAAACCAAACCTAATTTGCTCAAGTTTTGGGTGAACATATCACCGGATTAACCTTTTAAATCAGATCGAATACATGGGGGATGAAGTGGAATTCACTGAATATTAATAAAGAAGAGTTCATGAGGGGAGAAAATCAATCAATTCTTCCATTCTTGTTCACATTATGTCTTGTTATTAAAATGTAAGGAACTCTTGTCCTAGTTCAATTAATATACGTAGTTTATTTTTGAATTTTTTAACATAGTTGTGTATGGAAGAAATTAGGGATTTGAGAGATTTTTGCTTGGCTTGTTTAATTTATATTGGAATCATGTTAACATGCATATTTAGTTGGTAGGACAAGTTAGAATTGAAGCAATTAAGGAAAAAGTTAGTGCCTCTTTTCTTTAGTGTAGGTGTCGGCTTAGGGGTACCAAGGAAGGTGGCGAGGAATATTTTCTTTATATTGGTTATTTATAGGATATGTAAGTTTGTTTTGATCTTTATAGTTATGAATTCATGCAAAGATTTGAAGGAAAACAACAAGAAATCCATGATTTCTTTGGTATTTAAGCATTGATCTAAAAACCATTGAAAATAAATGGGTGAGTTTAAAATTGATTTGTACGTGTTAAATATATGCATAGTAAATGATTATATTAAAAGGGATGTGTAGAATGAAAGAAAACAATTTTTAGAATTCTATGTAAAGGTTAGTCGAAACAATTCCTAATGTGAGAAATGAAATAATAAATGTTATTGATATATTTGACATAAAAATATGATAATTATTTGGAAATAATTGAGTAATGTGTTATATGGGTGAGTTGATATAAAAAAATAATAATAAAATATTTTGGTTGATAATAAAAGTTATTAAAAAATAATAATAAAATATTTTGGTTGATAATAAGAGTTATTGTTATGGTTATGGTTAGATCTTAAGAAGCGAGAAGTTCAGGATTAGCATGTTAAATATATGAGATTTTTTCTTGATTTATTTTAACTAATAAAAATTAAGAATTAAAAATAATTTTGGTATATCATTAATATATATTTGAATTATTATTATTTTGGTTATGTTGGAAAAGAGAAAAATATAAAGAAAACTTATAAATGAGAACTTGTTTAGCCTACTAGGAACTTAGGGGTTAATGATATCAACATATGTAAGGGTTAAATTAAAAAAGAGAGACTAGAGTGACAAAAACAGGTAATTTATGATAGGTGTGCAATTTATTTGAAAATTTTATTTTTATCTCTCATTAAGCAATTAAGTATATTTTATAATTAAACTTGATTTTTTTAATAATGTTTTTCTCATATTATAAAAAATAGTTTTAAAAAAAATCATATTATTAAACTTTATAAAATACATGGACATGTTTATAAGTTTGACTAGTTGATCTAACTTGAAAATCTGGTTAATTTAACTATTTCTTGTTTTTAATTATTTTTTTAATATCTTAGTCTTCAATTAGTGTTTAATTTTTCAATTATTATCTTAGTCTTCAATTAGTGTTTAATTTTTCAATTATTTATTTTTTTATCATATAGTTAAATAAAAAAATTATTTTTAAAAAAATTATAATCTCACTGAATTCATAGCTGATTTATAAGTTTAGTGTACTTGTTCAAATTATCTAGTTCATAAATATCAAGATTGTATTTTAGCATATAAAATTAATTAATTTAAATCAAGTTAGTTTCCTTGTAATTTAGTTGGAAACTTGAGGTAAACAAATAAGTTGTGAGGATTTAGGATTGATCCATTAAACCAGACTTACTCAAAAAAATTGTTTGCACTTTTAATTTTTTTATATATTTTAAAAAATTAATCCCAACCATGGCATATCACGTGCTAATAAAATATATTGATTGTATATGATGTATATGTCTAATGAATGGATATTGTTATCAAAAACAAATTAACATACGTATAGACACAGACCCACACAGTGCAGATTGATAGTGGGGTTTTTTTGGAGCAAGAATATTTAGATCAAACCAATAGATACGTAATTAAAATCAAATTAAATCAAATAAACCTCAACAACTTTTCTACTCATTTATAGAATTGTAGATTAGTAAAATTTCAGCTCAATTAGTCGCCATGCTTGTTTTCATAGTAACCATGTGAGATTTAAGTTCTCCAAGTCAGGAAACCTAACCCTATCTAACCACAACTTTTCTTTGATCGCCATTGAAACCCCACCAATTTGCTGTCTCTGGTGTTTCTATAATGAATGGACTTTGCTGGTAAAGAGAAGATCAACACAAAGAGAGACACAGACGCGCAGGGAGCACATGGATGAACAGTGGATCAAACTGAGCACTACATATATATATATAAGAGTTATTTAATAGAAATCAAGAACGTCCTCAAATCCTAATCGTTTTTCTTACATTACAAAGCTTTAATTTCAACCTCTCTTTACAAAACGTGCATGAAACAATTTTGCAAGCAAGTTGCAGAAGAACCAAAACTTGGCATCCACCATTCTTCCTGAATCCTCATATTGAAAAATCCATCATGTTCACCACCAAGTTGTCCATCATCAGAGAGGCGACTTCCGCGAAGCATTGCAACTCCCAATTCTGCTTCCCTGCCATTGATTTTCCTGTAAATGTTAGGATCGTAATAGATAATGTATAAGAGAGAAGTTAAAATCTCAGCAGCAGTTTCTGCTTGGAAAGAACCTTACCACACAGTGATGGTACTGATGATGCCAGCTTCCCGTTGGTCTTAGGTAAATTGATGGGGCATGCAGAGAGTGGAAGAACAGGAAGATTTTGACAGTTGCATATTTCCACCATGTGGCCATCAGGGTCATGGAAGAAGAGCTGGTCAACTGTGATGCCACCTTCTTCAACCACTGCAGTAACATATTCAATGTTCTTCTCCTCTAGTTTCTTGATAACAAGATTCATGTCTGAGCATTGAAATGAAATGTGGTTGTCTTTTGGATTGATCTTACTCTTCTTTGCTGGGGCCTTGTCTGATTCAAGCAGATGGATGCCTATACCATAGTTGAACAACCTGTAAAGCACCCACTCAATTAGTTCATTGATTAATAGACAACAGGCATTAATTACTATTATAATTCTTCCAGTTATAGTACAGCAGCCATTGATTACTATCATCAATGCCAAAAGTTCATCAATCAAGCCTACTTGCAAATTAACTCTAGCAAGCACATGGGTAATGGGATCAATGCGGCATGATGGATGATCCACATGCATCGATGTAATTTTTCTTTTATTTACCAATAAAAAAAAATTAAGATCAATTTATACATCATCATGCATAATTGGCCATGCTATTATTCATCATAGTTATAAGACATGCCTAGCTCGATGATTCGATTCAATGACTTGTTGATCTAGAACTTTCTTATATAAAATTCATTTTGAAATTAAACGTGTTCAGCTTAATGAATCAATTCAATGACCCTTTCATCTAGAGTTTTCTTATATAAAACCAGTTTTGAATTAGCTCATCCAGCTGCTAGTCAACCCATCAGATGGCCAAGTTGACTAGCAATTCAAGAGGGACAGCATATTATTAGCCTTTTACGTCCCAGAAAATTCCAACGTAACCTTTTCACTTCTAAAGGGTTTTAAGAATGCTTGTGAGGTGCTGTAACATGTACATGCATGGAGATCTAAGAGTAAAAAACGAATGAAAACAAGAAAAGAAAAGGTTAATTTCACTAGTTGCTTAATAGTGAAGGACCAAATTGGAACTTTGTAAGAAGAGATAGGATTAAAAGTGGAAAAAACACTTTATCCTTTTTATAATAACAAAAAACATGGGCGAACCACAGAAGTTCACCAGGGATCAATTGATTAGCTGGTTGCCAGCACACCTCCATGGTTATGGCAGGAGGTTCCGGGTGCGATGGCACAGGGCATGGGGCACTCAGCGTCCCCACTTTGCCATGATCAATAAAGAAAGAAAAGAAGGCTCAACAGGGACATTAATGCAAGACTTTTGAGCTGTATCGTAACGAGTGATGATTATGCTTAAGGCCTGGGTCAATAATTCAGGCTATTCATCATAAATGAGCATTATTTTAATTTACATAAATTCAAGGGGTGGTTTTTGAAGTGTTATTATCAATTTTTTTGAAAAATAATATCATTAATATATTTTAAAACAAAAAAATATTTTGAAAAGTGCAATTCCAATCACGGTATGAGTATGTAAAATGGTAAGAAAAAGGGTAGTATTTCCATTTTTCTCTTAGAAAAGAGGTAAAAAGGATATTTTAAAAAACCAAATATAGGTTGATGATATTGTAATAGTGAACAATCTCTCTAGGATACAATCAATATATATATATATATATAGAGAGAGAGAGAGAGAGAGAGATGGGTGGACAGATTTCAATTTTGAATGTAAACATAAATGGTAAATTAACATTATATTCTTATAGGAGTATTGCTCTAGACTCAAGAGTATAAACCATTTCAATTTATTGTGTGGAAAACATAAGTTAAGCTAGGAGGAGGAAAGATCGAGACTATATATAACAGTAAGTATGTAAAATTGTTTTGCGCATCTGTCTTTCATGATCCATTTTCCTATGAAGTTAGAGAACAAAGAGGCCATATATATATATATATATATATATATATAGCTAGAGAAGATGATACAGAGAGAGAGAGGGGTGTGGATACGTACCATGCTCCTTCAAATTTGAAGGAAGAAGGTCTTTTGATGAGAACAAAACCCAAAACATCATAGTAGAACTCGACAGATTCGGCAACAGACTTGCAAACAAAAGAGATATGGTTTAAGGCTAGAGGCATGGGTGTTGTTCCTGTTGAAGGTGGGAAGGCCGGTGAAGGAGAAACCCACCTCTCTATTTCCTCCTGAATCTCTCCAATATTCCCCATGATCTCTCTGTCGAAATCAACTTGTCTGTTTTCTCCTGGATAATGCGTAACGTTGTCAATATAGGGTAATGGTAGGGAACAAATTAGTAGTGTATTTGTAAGGGACAACAGCTAAAGAAGACGAAGAAGAAAAGCCAGAGTTGTCGTGTTCTCCATTTATTATTAGTTGGAAAATAGTCGGAGTAAATGATCTTATCAACTACAAGCTACCAATCACCCACCAACACAGTTAATTATTAGTTTGACATTATAAATTAGCACATTGTTAGCTTTCTTTCACGTTTCTAATTTATGTACCTGTTGTACTCATGAACTCTCCTCTCCTAAATTTAAAAATATTAAAACATAATATAAAAAAACAAATTTAAAACAAAAAAACAAACAACTTCTAAAACTTACTGGCATTGTAAGACACTCGTTAAGTTATAGAGACTTTGTTTGTTTTGGCGGCATAAATGATATTTTCAAGAAAAAAAGATTTTTTTAATTGAATTTCTTTTAATAATTTTAAATTATTTTGATATACTGATTGTTATAGAATAATCTCAGCATAATATTTTAAACTATTAAGTAAAATTTTAAAATATCTTATATATTATTTTCTAATATATCCTATTAAATGAAAGTCCTTCAAACTTGAAATTTACATAGATTCATACTATTTTATATTTAATTTTTATCAGATAAATAGAAATAATTAGATTTGAACTCGTAATCGCTTGGTTATTAAGGCTTTAATATTGTGTCAAAGAATCATCTTAACACAATTGCTTTAACTATTACATAAAATACAAAAATATAATTTATATTATTTTTTAATATTGAGATAAAATATATTCAAATAAAAAATACCTTTACAAAAAAATTCTGCCCTTTATTATTATATACACACCAAATCAATTATGTTGCTTGTAAAGTTTTCATGTTTAATTATCACAGGGATTTTGTTTTTTTTCTAAAATTAATTATTTAATAAAAAAATAGTAATTTATTCAGAAATTTAGATTACCAAGTGAAGTTCAAGAATCATCATTATATATTTTTCAAATTTTATAAACAAAATATGTATAGACAAATTATAATTTTATAAGATATAAAATTGAGAACGACTCAATTATCATAAAATTTTAATTTTTGAATAAAAAATATCAATATACTCTCATATAATATATATTTTTTTAAATTATCTCTTTCTATAAAAATATGTAGTCAATTATATTTTTTAGTTTATACCATTTGATAAGTTCATCCATCAATTATTTTTCTGTTATAATTAATAAATTCAGTTTGGTGTTAGGAATTTTAAAATGTAGAATGCCAGGAGTATGTGCCATTTGATAACTTAATAAATAAATAAAAACTTCATGTGAGGAGAATGTGGAGAAATGTCATAAAAACTAATCAATCCCAAGTTAATTCTTAAAAATATTAATTAAAATAAAATATAACATCGATAATCGCTGGCCGCAAAACTCTAAGTCTCTTGTGTGAATGGATCCAGCTACATATTTACAAATTCTACTCACGTTGTATTATTTAATTTCTACTTGTCTCCCGATAAAATTTAATATTTAGAGTTTCATAAAATCAAAAACAAATCTCAAGATTTTAACCCATGCATCACTACATGACAAAGATCAATTCTCACACTTTAAATTAAAATGATTTTGTAATAAAATATTAAAAATTCTCATATTTGTAATTTTTCAATTAAAAAAATTACATATCCAAAATTATAAAATTTCATCTAATAACTTAATTTTTTTAATTATTATGTTGTTTATCATTCTATTACTTTGCGTAAATTTATAAAATAATTTTCAACAAATAAATTAAATCTAAAAATTAACTATAAAATATTTTTTATTAACCAATTTATCTTCAAAATATTTTACAAAAAACAAATACTAAAATTTTTCAAAAAATATTTTTCCATAAAATATTTTACATAACAAATATACCTGAATCTAATTGCAATTCATGTTGTTATCTCAAATGATAGATAAAGAAGATATTTGAAAGTATAGTAGTAGTTACGGTTTAAAGTATTTTTATTAAAAAATACATAAAAATAATATTTTTATTTTAAAAAAATTATTTTTAACATCAAAACAATCTAAAAACATAAAAAATAATTTAAAAAAAAAACTAAATTTTAAACAATACAAATCTAAAAACATAAAAAAATAATTTAAAAAAAAACGAAATTTTAAACAATACAAATTCAACCTTATTTCCAAAACCAACCGTGCGTTTCATGCCATCAATTTAAAATTGTGTAATCATTCCTTCTTTTCTTTTTTCTTTTTTGGTGGTTCAAATTCTTGTACTATTTTTATTTTATTAATTAAAGATGCATAAATGGATCTGAGTCATCGTAATCGATGAGAAGAGTTTACGGATTCTTATTTATTCTTGAGGTGTAAGAATCCGAGTCATCATCTGTATATATTTGATGGGAAATTGTGAAGGAAAATCAATGGAACTTCGTGGCCCAATGATATATATATAAAATAATAAGAAATAAAATAAAATTTGAAAGTGTTGCTGTCTATTTTACTTCTACTCATTAATTATCTGCCTTCGCATGTAATTTCGTCCACAATCATTTTCGTGTCTAATTAAATTCAAATAAAATCAACTACCTACAACGAAAATATATCAAATCATTGCTCAGCAACCACAAACTTAAATATAGTCTTCTTTCCCCCAGCAGAAAAATAAATAAATTTCAGTAAAATCAACAAGTTGTTTCATAATTAATTATGGGAGGGAAAAAACAAAGTATGGCAACCACGATACTCCAAATTGAAGATGATCTTTCAATAAAGAAAAGAAAATATTATATTAGTCTAGCTATGTGTTTTTTTTTTTTATATAAAATTCAATAAATAAATCCTTTGCCTTCAAGACCATAAGTTAGTCTCTTAATCAAATTTTATTGTTAATTCTTGTTGGAATTTCAAAATCACCCTATTTAATTTTTAATTATTTTTTATCTATAATAGGTTGGATTAGAAAATTTAATTAAAACTAAGGAGAAATTTAAGACAAAAACAATTAAATTATCGTGAAAAACACACATCCTTCTGGGAGTTTATACGTGCATGGTACAATAATTTGAAGCCAAACTTTATTGAAAGATTCAGTTAATCTCTGCGTCAAACTAGTGGCACACTTCAACACCAACATGTCTTCCAAGAAAAGCTCCACAAAGCTATTTGATATTGTCCAACAAGAGAAAAAGTTTACTCAGACATATTCCTCCCTTATACCTATCACTCAGATCACCTCAGGATGTATAATCCTTAATAGGAATGTAAGTTTATTTTTGAAATAAAAATAATGCATCTCTAATATATATTTGTTATCTACAGATCTCTAATGAGGAATTCCAGACATTTTCCAAGGAAATGATTGACTTGGTCTCCCGAAGGCAATAACATAACTCTCCTCCAAGAGGATCTACTTGGTTTCCCTAGGGCAACAACCCTATAATCTTTAATAGATAGGTATGATGTCTCCCTATTACAAAAATATCATTCTCTAGATGATGCCTAAGAGCCTTTCACCAATTCACTAAGGTTGATTTTAAATCACTTATTCTATACTGTAGTTTTGAACTGACACATTTTTTAGGTGATGCTAAAAGACCCCACCAATTCTCCAAAGATTAATCTTGGATCTCTCGCCTCTCCAATAGAGTCTCAAACTGGCATGACTCTTTAGTAGGGCTTTCAACCTTTATATTATCTCTAGGGATGATATTAGATCTCTCACTCTCGGGTATAACCTCTCTCCAATATAGGACTCTCACATCGTATTACATCACTAGGAAAGCCACAAGCCATCCACTATCACAAAATAACCACTCTTCAGTAGAGGCTCTTAAGCCCTCATACCATCACCAAGGAGGCTATTAACCTCCCACTATTTGTAAAGATCTTTCTCCAATTAAGGGTTATCATACCTCATGTCATCTTAGAAATGTTACATATCTCTTACACTTCATTATCTACTCTTCAATAGAGGGCTCTCATCTATATCATCTTAAAAAGGTCACATACATCTTATGTAATAATATGATCAATCTTCAAATGATGAACTTGATCTTTATGGTGCAATAAAACCACTATTTATAGGTTCACCCCGTTTACCTCTTAGAATTTTATCTAAGTATAGGCATCGATATAGGTCTGTCCCCTTAGCCATTTAGAAAATTTTTTAAGTATAGGCTTCTCCTTTATAGGTTTCCTTTTCGCCCCTAAATTTATTTTTTTTCTAAATATAAGTCCTCTTTTATGGGTTTGTCCCCTATACTCCTAGAAATTTTTCTAGGTATAAGTGTTGACATTAAAATTATTTCACCTCTAATAAAGTGAAGCACTTTACTCAAGCTTAACACTCTTTAGAAATTTTTTTCAGGAGCCTACGCGGGTCTATTAATATTTTATACTGATCCAATACTTATTATTTTGAGTATAATACAATTCAAAATATCACAAGGGTGAAATAACACTTTAACCCCTTTTCTCCATAAAAAGACAAGATTCATGGGTTATAACTTCACCATGAATCCTTTAAGCTCTAAGTTCATAATCTCTTCATTTTTAATATTTTTAGTATACATATTTTCACAGTTTATCTCTCTAAAATATCATTGTATTTTCTCTATTTATAAAGTTATTGACTTAAATATATTAGAGTTTTTACATCCATCAAAATGAATCTTTTTGCAAATACTAGTTACCAGTCATTTTAATTTATTAGACATCACTAGTTATTAGTTATAAATCATCTAGGTTTTTCATATCAAGCTATTAGACAACTTAGCTAAAAAAATAAATCAAATTATTTAAGTTAAGAAATTAACTGATTATTCAATATATTAATTTTATTTTTAAATATCTTAAATTTTAGAACGTTATCAATAGAATCCAAAAAAGAGACTCTCAAGAAAAACAGGTTATCCAAAAGAAACAAATTCAAGACCATTTCCGATCGTGA